TAGTCATTTAAATGCATGTATATATATATATATATATATATATATATATGTGTGTGTGTGTGTGTATGTATGTATAATTTTGAGTGCATCTATTATAAATATTTGTATATTTACATATACAGTATGTAAATATTAATATATATTAATGGCATAAATACCTCTAAAAACAATTTCAAATTGTTTTTAAAATTATATAAACATTATATAAAGTTGTATATAGATCTTTTGGTCTTTCAAACAAGGTCTGAAAATATATATTTTTGTGCATAATTTTTTATAAATTGTGTATATAATATAAAAAAATTTTAAAATATGTTTTATTATTATATATGCATATGTATGTATATTTATTTGGTCCCACTTCATTTTAACGTCCAGTTCTCACTATTAACTTTGAGTTTGGCCTCAAACTCTTAATTTGCTGCATATTAATAGTTAGTTAAGGTAGTTAAGTTCAGGTAGGATAAGGGATCTAATATATGGTCATGCAGAATATAAGTACTAATAAACAGCCAATATGCACAGTTTGAATGCTACTTAAGAATGAGAATTGGTCCCTAAACTAAAGTGTTACCATTTATTCATTTTTTATTTTTTACACTACGAGAATGAATCTTTTTGTTGCATTTGTGGTGTTAATGCATTGCTCAGGTGTGTGTGTGTGTGTGTGATTTTCAGGCGTCACACCCAAATGTTGTGTTGAAACGACTAACAGGTTTCCGCTCGAGATTCTGATGAAAGTGAGCAAGTATGAGGTCCAGACGAGCCACGGCATCTGCGCCATCGACGCGCTCGTGTGAGTGATTCATTCATATTTCATGTCTGCTGAATGATGAGCTTCTGAAGGCTTAAACTCCTCCATCCTCTGCTTTCAGACTTCACGCCAGAGACAAGCGATACTGCGCGACGCCCAAACTCCAGCGATTCCTGCAAACCTTACTGAAGCTCAAAATGCGGCACGGTCTGAAAAACACTGCCTCTGCTGTTTGAATGGACGAGATCCCGACAAACATTAGTCAAACTGCACTCAAAGATCATCAAAGCATTTACTCATTGTTTCTGTTCGCATGTTTTCTACGTCTTCATATTAAAGGAACACTCCACTATTTTTGAAAATAGGCTCATTTTCCAACTCCCCTAGAGTTAAACAATTGAGTTTTACCGTTTTCGAATCCATTCAGCCGATCTCCGGGTCTGGCGGTAGCACTTTTAGCTGTAGCTTAGCATAGATAATTGAATCTGATTAGACCATTGGCATCTCGCTCAAAAATGACCAAAGAGTTTCTATATTTTTCCTATTTAAAACTTGACTCTTCTGTAGTTACATCTTGTACTAAGACCGACGGAAAATGAAAAGTTGCTATTTTCTAGGCCGATATAGCTAGGAACTATACTCTCATTCCGGCGTAATAATCAAGGAACTTTGCTGCCGTACCATGGGTGCAGCAGGCGCAATGATATTACGCAGCGCACACACACACACAGTAGTGAACACACACACACACACACACAGAGTAGTGAACACACACACACACACACACAGTAGTGAACACACACACAGTAGTGAACACACACACACACAGTAGTGAACACACACACAGTAGTGAACACACACACACACAGTAGTGAACACACACACAGTAGTGAACACACACACACACAGTAGTGAACACACACACAGTAGTGAACACACACACACACAGTAGTGAACACACACACAGTAGTGAACACACACACACACAGTAGTGAACACACACACAGTAGTGAACACACACACACACAGTAGTGAACACACACACAGTAGTGAACACACACACACACAGTAGTGAACACACACACAGTAGTGAACACACACACACACAGTAGTGAACACACACACAGTAGTGAACACACACACACACAGTAGTGAACACACACACAGTAGTGAACACACACACACACAGTAGTGAACACACACACAGTAGTGAACACACACACACACAGTAGTGAACACACACACAGTAGTGAACACACACACACACAGTAGTGAACACACACACAGTAGTGAACACACACACACACAGTAGTGAACACACACACAGTAGTGAACACACACACACACAGTAGTGAACACACACACAGTAGTGAACACACACACACACAGTAGTGAACACACACACAGTAGTGAACACACACACACACAGTAGTGAACACACACACAGTAGTGAACACACACACACACAGTAGTGAACACACACACAGTAGTGAACACACACACACACAGTAGTGAACACACACACAGTAGTGAACACACACACACACAGTAGTGAACACACACACAGTAGTGAACACACACACACACAGTAGTGAACACACACACAGTAGTGAACACACACACACACAGTAGTGAACACACACACAGTAGTGAACACACACACACACAGTAGTGAACACACACACAGTAGTGAACACACACACACACAGTAGTGAACACACACACAGTAGTGAACACACACACACACAGTAGTGAACACACACACAGTAGTGAACACACACACACACAGTAGTGAACACACACACAGTAGTGAACACACACACACACAGTAGTGAACACACACACAGTAGTGAACACACACACACACAGTAGTGAACACACACACAGTAGTGAACACACACACACACAGTAGTGAACACACACACAGTAGTGAACACACACACACACAGTAGTGAACACACACACAGTAGTGAACACACACACACACAGTAGTGAACACACACACAGTAGTGAACACACACACACACAGTAGTGAACACACACACAGTAGTGAACACACACACACACAGTAGTGAACACACACACAGTAGTGAACACACACACACACAGTAGTGAACACACACACAGTAGTGAACACACACACACACAGTAGTGAACACACACACAGTAGTGAACACACACACACACAGTAGTGAACACACACACAGTAGTGAACACACACACACACACACACACAGTAGTGAACACACACACAGACAGAGTACTGAACACGCACCCGGAGCAGTGTTGTATGTTATTAACGTGGTCAGACAAGGATAAGATACAAGGCATATTTTTATTTCTAAAAAAGTGAATTCACACCACACAGAGCATTAAATCCAAACCAGTTCACAGTTGACTTCAGATGCATATGCGTGTTTGTCTTCAATATAATCACTGCTCAGGATCAGATTTATAATGGACACAAAGCCTAAAGACAATGAACAATGAGCAGAAATCACTCAGGAATAAAGCGGTCCAGTTTCAATGAACGGTTGACTGACTAGAATCAAAAACACAACATGACTTCATCTTCTCATTCATGCAGGTTCACATTCAGTGGTTTCACGCGGGATGATTTTGGCATGTTAGGTTTGCAGATGTTTCATATTTCACGTTTCTGAGCTTTACATGAAGACGAACCACTGAATAACACACGGCTCTCAAACATCAACTACTCCGGTCAAAAAGGTCACTTTTGTTAATAAAGGCAGTTAAAACCCAATCAACAAACAAGTGAGCAGTAGTCAGACATTTTCATCAAGATCTGAATAACAGATCTCAGTCAAACAACACTAATTCAAATCAATCTCAATAAAAATGATTCAAAATAAATACACATACAGTGGTTGGCACATAAAATGAGTCGCTGCGTTGGTCAAACTGCTCTAAACCGTCCCATTACTAAGTAGAGATTTCATTTGGCACAGTGCTTAAACTAGACTTAACTAATCACCAATGCGGTTAACTTCATCAGAAACTCAAGGAAAGGTACTTGATTGTCTTCTGACCAGCTGTTGGGGGACAATGAAGCTGCGTTATGAAAATACAGGACAGTCAGCAGTCAATCATTAACACACAGGCTGCTTAATCAAACACGGTCTGATTTCTGCGTGTGTTTCTCCACAATCTCACTGTTAGCAGCACTTTAAAAGACCTTTGTTCTTCACATACTGCTACGGATTATACTCCATTTCATTTCATAAAATAAAAAAATTAAAAAAAAATTCTTATTGAACGCTACTTTTATTTTCGGGGACTTTTTTTATTTTACACTTCCTTAGTTTTTTATTTGTTGTAAAATATTAAGGAAATATCAAATAAAATTAATGATGTACAATAAAATCCACTTAGTATTATTACCTTTCAAAAATCAAATCAAATTTAAGGGGATTATATTTATTACATTTCGACAATAAAACAAACACACACACACAGAAGAGAAATATAATCCCCTAAAATGGAATTACCTTTTACTAACAAAATAAATAAATACATACCATACATACATAAATAATAAAAAAAATATCTAAGAAAAAAAGAAATTCAAAATATTATTACCTTAAATATATATATTTTATTTTTATTACATTTCAATAATAAAATTAAATACAAAAACAATCCCCTAAAATGTAATTACCTTTTAATAATAAAATAACACAAAATAAAATACGAAATAAAAAATAAAATCCCCTTAAATAATACCTTGCAAAAATAAAATGCAATTAAATTCAATTAAAAATCAAGTAAAAGGGGGATGTATATATTCAAGCAATATATTAAGTAGATTTCTGTCATCATTTACTCACACTCCAAACCCGGATGAATTGATTTCTTCTGAGCAGAATATTCACACAATACTTGCATTCAGTGAAAGGGAATCAGGACGAGCGTCTCCTGCAGTCTCATCATACAGAGCTCGTCTCATGGACGACTGCTTTTCAAAGACTGCTTGTCTTTCTGCAGTTTGACAGCATCCGTACCCCATTTACTCCCTTTGAATGAAGTCATATTCATATTCAAGTTCATCTTCTTTAATATACTGCTCTTTGTCTGTTGAAAGCATGTGATGCATAAATGAATCTTATCTGAGGAGCTGCATTAACTGAGATTCCTTTGACAGATGACGCTAAACTAAGACAACTAACCAACCCAGCCTGAAGACACCAAGACTAACTGCTGGATTCATCAAAAAAATGTTAAAATGAATGTAATAATATACCATAAAAGAGCAGAACATTTAAAATAAATTCAAATTTGATTAAATGTTAAAAAATTTAATTGGATGTTTATTTTTTAAGGAGATTGTATTTTTTTTTTATTACCTTTTAATTAATAAATAATTCATTAATCCATTAAAATATATTCACCTTTCAAAAATAAAGTAACACAAAATAAAATAAAATTACATATTTAATACTTGTTTGTATTATTAAAAGGTATTTTAGGAGATTTTTTATTTTATTTTGTGTTATTTTATTTTTGAAAGGTAATTATATTTAAGGGGATTTATATTTCATTATTTTTTTAATTAAATTTTATATTTTCTTCAATTGTTTTGTAATTGTTCAATCATTTTTGCATTATTAAAAAGGTATTTTGGGGGATATTTTAATCACATTTTTTGGGGGATATTTTATTTTATTTTGTGTTATTTTATTATTGAAAGGTAATTGTATTTAAGGGGATTTACTTTTTTCATTTATTGGTTATATTTTCTTAACATTTTATTTTATATCTTCTTTATGAAAATATAAAATTAAAATTATGGAAAAAAAACTAATCCTCTTAAATATAATTACCTTTCAATACTAAAATAACAAGATAAAACAAAATGAAAAATCCCCTAAAATATCTTTTTAATAACACAAACAATTATTAATTACAATTACAAAACAATTATTTTATTTTATTTTGTTTTATTTTACTATTGAAAAATACTTATATTTTAGGGGATTTTATTTTGTTTTGTTATTGTTATAATTGTTTGTATTATTGGAAGGCATTTTAGGGGATTATTTTCTTTTGTGTTATTTTATTATTGATAAGTAATTATATTTAAGGGGACTTATTTTTTTCGTTTTTATTGAATATTTACTTAATATTTTATTTGATATTTTCTATAAAAATTATGGAATTATAAACTAATAAATCCATTGACATTTTTGAATCCTCTTAAAAAACTTTCAATAATAAAATAAAAATAACACAAAATTAAAAAAATGTACTTTAATGGGAAAAAAATTAAACCCCCTTAAATATCATTACCTTTCAAAAATAAAATAAAAGGAGAGAAATATATTTGTCATCATTTATTCACACTTGAGCGGAGTATTTAAGGGCAGCGTCCGGTGTCAGACAGTGATTACTGATGTGCTGATGTTACCGGTCCGTGTTGAAGCAGCATGGAGATTGAAGCTGTAGTTGTCACTCCTCCAGCGCCTGCAGGATATCCGCCACAGACTCCACCACGTAATCAGGCGCGCAGTGCTTCTGCTGCGGCTCCTGGCTGTCTCTGAACGCGAACGCCTCCTGCAGCGTGGAGACGCCCGTCAGCGTGAGCACCGTCGCCAGGCCGCAGTTGCTGCCGAACAGAACGTCCGTCTCCAGCCGGTCTCCGATCATCAGCGAGTGCGCCGGGTCCAGACCGAACTGACTGGAGATGCAGTCGAACATGAAGCGGCTGGGCTTCCCGATGACCGTGGCCTTCCTGCTGCTGGCCGTCTCCAGAGCCGCCGTGAGGCTGCCGGACCCTGCGGCACATTCACACACGTTCCCTGTGCATCACTGAATGACCCGACAATGTGTTTGACAGAGAGCTTCTAGAGTCACTCAACTCAGACAACATCACAAGAACAATTCAGCAACGCTACAGCTTCAAACGCTTGATATTTGATAGACTTTAGATGGAATGAAACCTCTTGAAAACAAGTCCACGTCACATTTCACATCAAAATCAAAAATGTATTTTTAGGTTTAAACGCTTTAAATTTCCCTGTTTTTTCTATGACCTTTTCTAGTAGTTTGTTATGATACTAGAACAGATGTACGTTTCCAGGACTGTGGGAACCAAATGTTTTGCTTGAAGAAATTGTTTGCATCTCATTTGCATTGTGTATTTGACATTAGTGTAATTAAAAAATATATTTAATTGATGCTGATTTTAATGAAAAAAAAAAAAGTTATTGCATTACAGCTATGAGTTTTGGTGGAGACCGTGTAATTGCCATGAAAATGATTTAAGAACACAGAAAAATTGTAATAGTCCTAAAATAGTATTAAGCCAATTAAGCACATTTACACCCAAAACTCTCATTATTGTCATTTTAAAAAAGTCTTTATGCTGATTTTAATACAAAAAAAATGTATGTATATATATATATATATATATACACACAGTATCTCACAGAAGTGAGTACACCCCTCACATTTTTGTAAATATTTTATTATATCTTTTCATGTGACAACACTGAAGAAATGACACTTTGCTACAATGTAAAGTAGTGAGTGTACAGCTTGTATAACGCCATGTTGAACTTCCAGTGACCAGTATGAAAGAGTGAGAGCGATAACACCAAATTTAACACATCTGCTCCCCATTCACACCTGAGACCTTGTAACACTAATGAGTCACATGACACCGGGGAGAGAAAATGGCTAATTGGGCCCAAGTTGGCTGTGTGTTGAGCTATTTTGAGGGGACAGCAAATTTACACTGTTATACCCTGTTTCCAGGACGGTGGGAACCCAATATTTTGCTTGAAGAAATGACTTGCATTGCATTGATTAGTGACAATTAAGCACATTTACACCCAAAACTCTCATTACTGTCATTAAATAAATGCCTTCAATTTATGTGGATTATAATATAATGGGGAAAAACATAATTGTATTTTTTTTGCATTACAGCAAAGTGTTGAATTATCATGAAAATGTTGCAGAAAAATATTATATTTATAAATAAATAATTTTTAAATTGTATTTATTTATTTTTAATGTTTGCATTACAGCAATGAGTTTTGTTGGAAAATTAATGCAGAAAAATCTTAAGAAACCTAAAATAGGCTTTATTTTGTTATTGCAAAAAAAAAAAATTCCTGATTTTAATAGCCAGAATGCATAAAAATATTTTATTATAAATATTTTATTTATTTATTTATTTATACTAAAAGCAATGAGTTGGTGGAGAAAGTGTTGAAATGACATTAAAATAATGTCAGAACGCAGAAAGTTGTAAAAGTCCTTAAAATAGGCTTTATTTTCTTTCCAAAAAAAAAAAAAAAACCTTGATTAATATTTGTAACGTTTTATTTTGCTTCAAGAAATTATATGCATGGAACACTTTAATGCACATTTACCCCCAAAACTGTCATTTAAAAAAAATGTCTAATTTATGCTGCTGATTTTAATGAATGAGAGAACAGATGTAATACTTCAGAACAGCTTTTTTTTTCATATTTGTAAGGTTTTCCAGGACTTGAAGAAATGATCTGCATTTGCACAATTACACCCAAAACTCTCATTTGGGAACAAACCATAGCATCACAACAAATCTTCAGCTTAAATCACAAGCTGTATCACTCCATATCAGCCTCGTTTATGTTTTTCACTTTTGATTTTGAGGTGAAATGTGACCCGGGCACGTTTCACGACATGCACATTCTTTACTTGTGATTTCAATAAGGAGATGCATTTCATAACGCTTCAGAGGAGCTGATAGAGAGTCGGCAGCCCTACCTGGGGTGACCCTGCCTCCTCTCAGCGGGTGCCAGGGGTCCGGGTCAGTGGCCAGGAACAGGCACTCGGAGCTCCGCAGGTAGCAGCAGGCTTTGGCGAGCTTCATGAAGGTGAAGTTCTCGTCGTATCCCACCAGCACAGCCTTCACATCCGGGTCCAGCGGGCAGTTGTAGATGCTGGCGCCCGGCTCCGCGTCCTCCTCCTCCGCCACCGGCACCCCGGCGTCCCGCAGCTCCTTCAACACCCCGCCGCAGCCGATCACGTACACCTTCCCCTGCAGCCGCGCCACGTCGCGCAGGTACGCGGCGGAGCAGTACGCCGAGCTGAAGATCTCCTCCTCCGCGACGTCCGTGAAGCCGAGGCGGCTGAATTTCTGCACGTAGTTCTCCCGCGGCCTGGTGCAGTTGTTGGTGACGAAAAACACCCGTTTGCCGCGCTGCTTGAGCAGACTGACCACCTCCGGAGCTCCGGTAACGGCCGTTTCTCCGTTCCAGATGACGCCGTCGCAGTCGAACAGCACGTTGTGTTTGGCGTCCAGCAGGTCCCGGATCTGAGCGCCGCAGAGCGTCACGCAGCCCCTGCCGCCACCCGCCGCGCCTGCCATCCTGCTGGCTTGAGATCCTATGATGGAAAACGACGAACTGCGTCTGTTTATTTAAACGCGCTGAGGATCGCCGTTAGTTAACGGTTAGTGGAATGAACGGAGAACCGAACGCGACGCAGTGGAGCGGCTCACCAGCGCGTCCATCTCTGAGGCGGGAACAG